CTAACACTTTGGTTTCACCAACACCTTTGGTTTCCACCAACACCTTTGGTTCCACCTAACACCTTTGGGTTTCCACCTAACACCATTGGTTTTCCCACCTAACACCTTTGGTTTCCACCTAACACTTTGGTTTCCACCTAAAACCATTGGTTTCCACAAAAACACCTTTGGTTTCACTAACACTTTGGTTTTCCACAAATTTACCTTTAGTTTCCAACTAACACCTTTGGTTTCCACCTAACACCTTTGCTTTCCACCTAGCTCCTCTGGTTTCCTCCTAACACCTTTGGTTTCCAAATAACACCTTTGGTTTCCACCTAGCTCCTCTGGTTTCCTCCTAACATTTTTGGGTTTTCCCAAAATAACCTTTGGGTTTCCACCTAACGCCATTGGTTTCGACCTAACACCTTTGGTTTCCACCTAATACCTTTGGTTTCCAACTAACACCTTTGGTTTCCACATAACACTTTTGGTTTCCACCTAACACCATTGGTTTCGACCTAACACCTTTGGTTTCCACCTAACACCTTTGGTTTCCACCTAACACCTTTGGTTTCCACCTAACACCTTTGGTTTCCACCTAGCACCTTTGGTTTCCACCTAACACCTTTGGTTTCCAAATAACACCTTTGGTTTCCACCTAACACCTTGTTTCCCCCTAACCCCTTTTTGGTTTTACCTAACCCCTTTTGGGTTTCCACCTATCGCCTTTGGTTTCTCCACTAACACCTTTTGGTTTTTCCACCTAACACCTTTGGTTTCCACCTAACTCCTTTGGTTCCACCTAACACCTTTGGTTCCACCTAACACCATTGGTTTCCACCTAAGCCCTTTGTTTCCAACCAAACCCACCTTGGTTTCCCCCTAACACCTTTGGTTTCCACCTAACACCATTGTTTCCACCTAACACCTTTGGTTTCCAACCTAACACCTTTGGTTTCCACCTAATACCATTGGTTTCCACTAACACCTTTGGGTTTCCACCTAACACCTTTGGTTTCCACATAACACCTTTGGTTTCCCCCTAACACCATTGGTTTTCACCTAACACCTTTGGTTTCCACCTAACCCCTTTTGGGTTTTCCAACTAACACCTTTGATTCCAGCTAACCCCTTTTCGGTTTCCACCTAACACCTTTGTTTCCCCTAACACCTTTGGTTACCACATAACACCTTTGGGTTTTCCACCTAACACCATTGGTTTCCACCTAACCCCCTTTTGGGTTTTCCACCTAACACCTTTGGTTTCCAACTAACACCTTTGGTTTCCAACTAACACCTTTGGTTTCCACCTAACACCTTTGGTTTCCACCTAACACCTTTGGTTTCCACATAACACCTTTGGTTTCCACCTAACACCTTTGGTTTATACCTAATACCATTGGTTTCCACCTAACACCTTTGGTTTCCACCTAACACCTTTGGTTTCCACCTAACACCTTTGGTTTCCACATAACACCTTTGGTTTCCACCAAACACCATTGGTTTCCACCTAACACCTTTGGTTTCCACCTAACACCTTTGGTTTCCAACTAACACCTTTGGTTTCCAACTAACACCTTCGGTTTCCACCTAACACCTTTGGTTTCCACCTAACACCTTTGGTTTCCACCTAACACCATTGGTTTCCACCTAACACCTTTGGTTTCCACCTAACACCTTTGGTTTCCACCTAACACCATTGGTTTCCACCTAACACCTTTGGTTTCCACATAACACCTTTGGTTTCCACCAAACACCATTGGTTTCCACCTAACACCTTTGGTTTCCACCTAACACATTTGGTTTCCACCTAACACCCTTGGTATCACAGTAAATTTAACACTCTCTAACACTATGTGGTATTGAATCCCAAGTCAGTGGTCATACTTCATGCAAGATGCCAACCACAATCATAAACATTCCTACTACCACGACAATTATTTCTATAACAATCTTTGCTTAATTCTGGTTGCCTTCCTAGGTTTAAGTCTATCTACCACATGAGGGTCATTAAGATGGAGAAATACGCCTCTCAGCGTATATACACTAAGATATACACCTCTCAGTGTATATACACTGAGATATACACCTCTCAGTGTATAAACTAAGATATACAACCTCTCAGCGTATATACACTAAGATATACACCTCTCAGTGTATATACACTGAGATATACACCTCTCAGTGTATATAAACTAAGATATACACCTCTCAGTGTATATACACTAAGATATACACCTCTCAGTGTATATACACTGAGATATACACCTCTCAGTGTATATACACTGAGATATACACCTCTCAGCGTATATAAACTAAGATATACACCTCTCAGCGTATATACACTAAGATATACACCTCTCAGTGTATATACACTAAGATATACACCTCTCAGTGTATATACATGAGATATACACCTCTCGTGTATATACACTAGATAACACCCCTCGGTGTATATTACACTGGATTAAAACCTCCGGTGTATATACACTGAGATATACACCTCTCGGTGTATATACACTGAGATATACACCTCTCGGTGTTATAACACTGAGATATACACCTCTCGGGGTATATACACGAGATATACACCTCTCGGGGTATATACACTGAGATAACACTCTCGTGTATAAACCTGAGATATACACCTCTCAGCGTATATACACTAGATATACACCTCTCAGTGAATATACATGAGTTATACACCACCGTGTTTATACACTGAGAAAACACCTCCGGTGTATATACACTGAGAATATACCCCCCAGTGTATATACACTGAGATATAACCCCCTCTCAGTTTGTAAAATACACTGAGATAAACACATCTCGGTGTATATACACTGAATATACACCTCTCATGTTTATCACTAAAATATGCACCCCTCGGTTTTATATACACGAGATATACACATCTCAGTGTAATATGCCCGAGATAAAACACCTCTCGGTGTATATACACTGAGATATACACCTCCCAGTGTATGTACACTGGAAAATACATCTCTCCCGTGTATATACACTGAGATATACACCTCTTTAGTGTATATACACTGAGATATACACCTCTAGGTGTATATACACTGAATATACACCTCTCATTGTATATACACTGAGATATATATCTCTCGGTGTATATACACTGATAATACACCTTCTGTGTATATACACTGAGATATACACCTCCAGTGTATATACACTGAGATTACCCCTCTCAAATGTAATACACTGAGATATTCACCTCTCGGGGTATAAAACATAGAGATATCACCTCCCAGTGGGATATACACTGAGATATACACCTCCAGTGTATATACACTGAGATATACACCTTTCGGTGTATATACACGAGATATAGACCTCTCAGTGTATATACACTGAGATATACACCTCTCAGTGTATATACCTGAGAATTCACCTCTCGGTGTATATACACAGACATTACACCTCCCATGTATATACACTGAGATATACACCTCTCATTTTAAATACACTAGGGTATACACCTCTTAGTGTATATACACTGAGATATACACCTCTCAGTGTATATACACTGAGATATACACCTCTAGGTGTATATACACTGGGATAAAACACCTCCCCAGTGTATATACACGAGATATTCATCTCGGTGTATATACACAGAGAATAACCCCCTCCCAGTTGTATATACACTGAGATATCACCTCTCAGTGTATATACACTGAGATATTCACCTCTCGTGTATATACACAGAGATATCACCTTTCCCAGTGTATAACACTGAGATATACCACCCTTCAGTGATATACACAGATATACACCTTTCGGTGTATATACACTGAGATATACACCTTCAGTGTAATACACGAGATATACACCCAAGGTATATACACGAGATATACACCTCCAGTGTATATACACTGAGATATCACCTCTAGGTGGATATACACTGGATATACACCTCTCGTGTATTAACTTAGATTTACACCTCTCAGTGTATAACTGAGATATACACCTCTAGTGTATATAACTGGGATATACCCTCTCTTTTTTACACTGAGATTTACACCTCTCAGTGTATATACACTGAGATATACACCTCTAGTGTATATATGAGAAATATTTCAGCCTTTGTGTATATACACGAGAAATATACAGCTCTCAGTGTATATACATTGTGAAATATACACTTTTTTACTAGTTGTTGTCTGCATCCCGTTGTTATCCCTCTGTTTATCCTGTCTGTGGTACGATCTTGATATGGTATCGCTCAGGTATCGCTGGACCCAGAGACGTAAGGGCAAGAACGGGACTCCTGGTATCCCTGGTACTCCCCGGTATCAGTACCTGGAAAGTCACGGAACTGCGCCCAGAAGCTATGATACACCCGCGATACCAGGTATTGTGTAGTTCTGGGTGTTGTTGCTGGGGTCGATTCGGCCCCTCTCTTGGTGTGTGGTGTGTGTGTGTGTGTGTTGTGTGTATGTGTGTGTGTTTTGTGGGGTGTGCTGTTGTGTGTGGTGTGTGTGTGTGGTTTTGTGTGTGTGATGTATGTGTGTGTGTGTGGTGTGTGTGTGTGTGTTTGTGTGTGTGTGTGTGTGTGTGTGTGATGTGTGTTGTGGTGTGTGTTTCGTGTGTGTGTGTGTGTGTGTGTGTGTGTGTGTGTTTTGTGTGTTGTGTGTGTCGTGTGGGGTGCGTTTGTGTTGAGTATGTGCATGTGGAGTGTGTTATGTGTTGTGCGTGGTGGGTGTGTGTGTGGGTGTGTGTGTGTGTGAGTGTGTGTGGTGTGTATGTGTGTGTTTGGGGTGAAGAGTGTGTGTGTGTGTGTGGTGTGTGTTGTGTGTGTGTGTTGTGTGTGTGTGTGTTGTGTGTGTATGTGGTGTGTGTTTGTGTAGAGTAAGTGGTGATGTGTAATGTGTGTGTGTGTTGTGGTGTGTTTTGTGTGTGTGGGAGTGTGTGTGTGTTATGTGTGGTTTGTGTGAGTGTATTTGTGTTTGGGGTGTGTGGTCTGTGTATGTATGTGTTGTGAATGTGTGTGTACGGGCGTGTCTGCACCTACCTTTGTATATTCACACACATGTACACACCTAACACCCGAACCGCAGGGTCAACCCGCCTGCGACCGAGGCGCCGCAAGCCCATCATAGTGAGGGAGGGTGACAACCTGCGGCTGCGGTGCCAGGCCGCAGGAGAGCCATTACCGCAGGTAGAGTGGAGCAAGGAAGACGGTGGAGCCATCCCTACTGGCCAGTGGAAAGGTGAGACCAGCCGGGATAGATAGTCCCGGAGGATAGATAGATTTACAGGACCCAGGGATAGATAGCCCCGGTGGATAGATAGATTTACAAGACCCAGGGATAGATAGCCCCTGAGGAAAGATAGATTTAGCTGTCCCAGGGATAGATAGCCCCGGAGGATAGATTGATTTACATGACCCAGGGATAGATAGCCCCGGTGGATAGATAGATTTACAGAACCAAGGGATAGATAGCCCCTGTGGATAGATAGATTTACAGGACTCAGGGAGAGATCGTCCCAGAGGATAGATAGATTTACAGGACTCAGGGAGAGATCGTCCCAGAGGATAGATAGATTTACAGGACCCAGGGACAGATCGTCCCAGAGGATAGATAGATTTACAGGACCAGGGACAGATCGTCCAGAGGAAGATAGATTACAGGACTCAGGGACAGATCGTCCCCAGAGGATAGATAGATTTACAGGACCCAGGGACAGATCGTCCCAGAGGATAGATAGATTTACAGCTCCCAGGGATAGATCGTCCCAGAGGATAGATAGATTTGCAGAACCCAGGGATAGATCCTGGGATAGGGATCTTAGGATAGTTGTATATCTATCTATATATCTATCTATCTATCTAATTATCTATCTATCTATATATATATATATATATATAATATATATATATATAATAATTATATATATTATATATATATTATATATATATATATATGTATATTAATATATATAAATAAACAAACACACACACAGATTTTTTAAATATGCAAATCTGAAATTGAAATCTGTGATAGACATCAAAGTCAATCACAACAGTGAAAAAATTTGCCTCACACATTTAATACGTAATATACACCGGTGTTTCAAATTGAAGGACCCGAGTTCATAATAAACTGGTTTGAAATCGTGTCCACATTTTTGAAACGCCTATTCCTATACTGCAGCTACATTTATATGTATATATATGTATAATATATATATATATATATATATATATATATTATATATATATATATATATATTAAATATATATATATATATATATATATATATATATATGTATATATATATATATACATGCATATCCATATGTATCTCAGGGTACATATACACTGAGATATATACATCTTAGCGTTGATAAATATTCTCGCAAGTACTGAAATGTGGTGGGAATATTCCGTAGAGTTTCTCGATATATTTTTAATTTTCGTTGCAATTAAGACTGCCTCAGTAACTGCGTGGCAGACAGGTATACAACCCTCACTAACCTGGTTTCTCGTGACTGCACGTGACAGAGGGTGCTCTGAACAACCACGTGCTCAACCTGACGCACGTGCACCGTGAACACACGGGGTCGTACGTCTGCGAGGCGTACAACGGTATCCCTCCGAATGACTACAAGACCTTCAGTGTGGAAGTCCATTGTAAGTGTCCTGGGGGGGTGATTGTGGTTGTGTTGGTAGGCTGGTAGGTGGGGGAAGGTTGTGGTTGTGTTGGTAGGCTGGTAGGTGGGGGAAGGTTGTGGTTGTGTTGGTAGGCTGGTAGGTGAAGGAGGGTTGTGGTTGTGTTGGTAGGCTGGTAGGTGAAGGAGGGTTGTGGTTGTGTTAGTAGGCTGGTAGGTGGGGGGGAAGGTTGTGGTTGTGGTTGGTAGTGCTGGTAGGTGAGGGGAGACTTGTGGTTGTGTTGGTAGGCTGGTAGGTGAGGGGAGGATTGTGGTTGTGTTGGTAGGCTGGTAGGTGAAGGAGGGTTGTGGTTGTGTTGGTAGGCTGGTAGGTGAAGGAGGGTTGTGGTTGTGTTGGTAGGCTGGTAGGTGAAGGAGGGTTGTGGTTGTGTTAGTAGGCTGGTAGGTGGGGGGAAGGTTGTGGTTGTGTTGGTAGGCTGGTAGGTGAGGGGAGAGTTGTGGTTGTGTTGGTAGGCTGGTAGGTGAAGGAGGATTGTGGTTGTGTTGGTAGGCTGGTAGGTGAAGGAGGGCTGTGGTTGTGTTGGTAGGCTGGTAGAGTGAAGGAGGGTTGTGGTTGTGTTGGTAGGCTGGTAGGTGAAGGAGGGTTGTGGTTGTGTTAGTAGGCTGGTAGGTGGGGGGAAGGTTGTGGTTGTGTTGGTAGGCTTGTAGGTGAGGGGAGGGTTGTGGTTGTGTTGGTAGGCTGGTAGGTGAGGGGAGGGTTGTGGTTGTGTTAGTAGGCTGGTAGGTGAGGGGAGGGTTGTGGTTGTGTTGGTAGGCTGGTAGGTGAGGGGAGTTGTGGTTGTGTTGGTAGGCTGGTAGGTGAAAGAGGGTTGTGGTTGTGTTAGCAGGCTGGTATGTGAGGGGAGGGTTGTGGTTGTGTTATTAGGCTGGTAGGTGAGGGGAGGGTTGTGGTTGTGTTGGTAGGCTGGTAGGTGAGGGGAGTTGTGGTTGTGTTGGTAGGCTGGTAGGTGAGGGGAGGGTTGTGGTTGTGTTGGTAGGCTGGTAGGTGAGGGGAGGGTTGTGGTTGTGTTGGTAGGGTGATAGGTGAGGGAGGGTTGTTGGTTGTGTAGGTAGGCTGGTAGGTGAGGGGAGTTGTGGTTGTGTTGGTAGGCTGGTAGGTGAGGGAGGGTTGTGGTTGTGTTGGTAGGCTGGTAGGTGAGGGGGGCTGTGGTTGTGATGGTAGGCTGGTAGGTGAGAGAGGGAGATGGTGGTTGTGTAGGTGGGTTGGTAGGTAAGCTGGTAGGTAAGCTGGTAGGTAAACTGGTAGGTATGCTGGTAGGTAAGCTGATAGGTAAGCTGGTAGGTAAGCTGATAGGTAAGCTGATAGGTAAGCTGATAGGTAAGCTGGTAGGTAAGCTGGTAGGTAAGCTGGTAGGTAAGCTGGTAGGTAAGCTGATAGGTAAGCTGGTAGGTAAGCTGATAGGTAAGCTGGTAGGTAAGCTGGTAGGTAAGCTGATAGGTAAGCTGGTAGGTAAGCTGGTAGGTAAGCTGATAGGTAAGCTGATAGGTAAGCTGGTAGGTAAGCTGATAGGTAAGCTGATAGGTAAGCTGGTAGGTAAGCTGATAGGTAAGCTGGTAGGTAAGCTGATAGGTAAGCTGATAGGTAAGCTGGTAGGTAAGCTGATAGGTAAGCTGGTAGGTAAGCTGGTAGGTAAGCTGGTAGGTAAGCTGGTAGGTAAGCTGGTAGGTAAGCTGATAGGTAAGCTGGTAGGTGAGCTGATAGGTAAGCTGATAGGTAAGCTGGTAGGTAAGCTGGTAGGTAAGCTGGTAGGTAAGCTGGTAGGTAAGCTGGTAGGTAAGCTGATAGGTAAGCTGGTAGGTAAGCTGGTAGGTAAGCTGGTAGGTAAGCTGATAGGTAAGCTGGTAGGTAAGCTGATAGGTAAGCTGGTAGGTAAGCTGGTAGGTAAGCTGGTAGGTAAGCTGATAGGTAAGCTGGTAGGTAAGCTGATAGGTAAGCTGGTAGGTAAGCTGGTAGGTAAGCTGGTAGGTAAGCTGGTAGGTAAGCTGGTAGGTAAGCTGATAGGTAAGCTGGTAGGTAAGCTGATAGGTAAGCTGGTAGGTAAGCTGGTAGGTAAGCTGGTAGGTAAGCTGGTAGGTAAGCTGATAGGTAAGCTGGTAGGTAAGCTGGTAGGTAAGCTGGTAGGTAAGCTGGTAGGTAAGCTGATAGGTAAGCTGGTAGGTAAGCTGATAGGTAAGCTGGTAGGTAAGCTGATAGGTAAGCTGATAGGTAAGCTGGTAGGTAAGCTGGTAGGTAAGCTGGTAGGTAAGCTGATAGGAAAGCTGGTAGGTAAGCTGGTAGGTAAGCTGGTAGGTAAGCTGGTAGGTAAGCTGATAGGTAAGCTGGTAGGTAAGCTGGTAGGTAAGCTGGTAGGTAAGCTGATAGGTAAGCTGGTAGGTAAGCTGGTAGGTAAGCTGGTAGGTAAGCTGGTAGGTAAGCTGATAGGTAAGCTGGTAGGTAAGCTGGTAGGTAAGCTGGTAGTAAGCTGATAGGTAAGCTGGTAGGTAAGCTGGTAGGTAAGCTGGTAGGTAAGCTGATAGGTAAGCTGGTAGGTAAGCTGATAGGTAAGCTGATAGGTAAGCTGATAGGTAAGCTGATAAGTAAGCTGGTAGGTAAGCTGATAGGTAAGCTGGTAGGTAAGCTTGTAGGTAAGCTGATAGGTAAGCTGATAGGTAAGCTGATAGGTAAGCTGGTAGGTAAGCTGGTAGGTAAGCTGATAGGTAAGCTGGTAGGTAAGCTGGTAGGTAAGCTGGTAGGTGAGCTGATAGGTAAGCTGATAGGTAAGCTGGTAGGTAAGCTGATAGGTAAGCTGGTAGGTAAGCTGGTAGGTAAGCTGATAGGTAAGCTGGTAGGTAAGCTGATAGGTAAGCTGGTAGGTAAGCTGATAGGTAAGCTGATAGGTAAGCTGATAGGTAAGCTGGTAGGTAAGCTGATAGGTAAGCTGATAGGTAAGCTGATAGGTAAGCTGATAGGTAAGCTGGTAGGTAAGCTGATAGGTAAGCTGATAGGTAAGCTGATAGGTAAGCTGGTAGGTAAGCTGATAGGTAAGCTGGTAGGTAAGCTGATAGGTAAGCTGATAGGTAAGCTGATAGGTAAGCTGATAGGTAAGCTGATAGGTAAGCTGATAGGTAAGCTGATAGGTAAGCTGGTAGGTAAGCTGGTAGGTGAGCTGATAGGTAAGCTGATAGGTAAGCTGGTAGGTAAGCTGGTAGGTAAGCTGATAGGTAAGCTGGTAGGTAAGCTGATAGGTAAGCTGATAGGTAAGCTGGTAGGTAAGCTGGTAGGTGAGCTGGTAGGAAAGCTGATAGGTAAGCTGGTAGGTAAGCTGGTAGGTAAACTGGTAGGTAAGCTGATAGGTAAGCTGGTAGGTAAGCTGGTAGGTAAGCTGGTAGGTAAGCTGGTAGGTAAGCTGGTAGGTAAGCTGGTAGGTAAGCTGGTAGGTGAGCTGGTAGGTAAGCTGATAGGTAAGCTGGTAGGTAAGCTGGTAGGTAAGCTGATAGGTAAGCTGGTAGGTGAGCTGATAGGTAAGCTGATAGGTAAGCTGGTAGGTAAGCTGATAGGTAAGCTGATAGGTAAGCTGATAGGTAAGCTGATAGGTAAGCTGATAGGTAAGCTGATAGGTAAGCTGGTAGGTAAGCTGGTAGGTAAGCTGATAGGTAAGCTGGTAGGTAAGCTGATAGGTAAGCTGATAGGTAAGCTGGTAGGTAAGCTGGTAGTAAGCTGATAGGTAAGCTGGTAGGTAAGCGATAGGTAAGCTGATAAGTAAGCTGGTAGGTAAGCTGATAGGTAAGCTGATGGGTAAGCTGGTAGGTAAGCTGATAGGTAAGCTGGTAGGTAAGCTGGTAGGTAAGCTGGTAGGTAAGCTGATAGGTAAGCTGATAGGTAAGCTGGTAGGTAAGCTGATAGGTAAGCTGATAGGTAAGCTGATAGGTAAGCTGGTAGGTAAGCTGATAGGTAAGCTGATAGGTAAGCTGGTAGGTAAGCTGGTAGGTAAGCTGATAGGTAAGCTGGTAGGTAAGCTGATAGGTAAGCTGATAGGTAAGCTGGTAGGTAAGCTGATAGGTAAGCTGGTAGGTAAGCTGATAGGTAAGCTGGTAGGTAAGCTGGTAGGTAAGCTGGTAGGTAAGCTGATAGGTAAGCTGGTAGGTAAGCTGGTAGGTAAGCTGATAGGTAAGCTGGTAGGTAAGCTGGTAGGTAAGCTGGTAGGTAAGCTGGTAGGTAAGCTGGTAGGTAAGCTGATAGGTAAGCTAATAGGTAAGCTGGTAGGTAAGCTGATAGGTAAGCTGATAGGTAAGCTGATAGGTAAGCTGGTAGGTAAGCTGATAGGTAAGCTGATAGGTAAGCTGGTAGGTAAGCTGATAGGTAAGCTGGTAGGTAAGCTGATAGGTAAGCTGATAGGTAAGCTGATAGGTAAGCTGATAGGTAAGCTGATAGGTAAGCTGATAGGTAAGCTGGTAGGTAAGCTGGTAGGTGAGCTGATAGGTAAGCTGATAGGTAAGCTGGTAGGTAAGCTGGTAGGTAAGCTGATAGGTAAGCTGGTAGGTAAGCTGATAGGTAAGCTGATAGGTAAGCTGGTAGGTAAGCTGGTAGGTGAGCTGGTAGGTAAGCTGATAGGTAAGCTGGTAGGTAAGCTGGTAGGTAAACTGGTAGGTAAGCTGATAGGTAAGCTGGTAGGTAAGCTGGTAGGTAAGCTGGTAGGTAAGCTGGTAGGTAAGCTGGTAGGTAAGCTGGTAGGTGAGCTGGTAGGTAAGCTGATAGGTAAGCTGGTAGGTAAGCTGGTAGGTAAGCTGATAGGTAAGCTAGTAGGTAAGCTGATAGGTAAGCTGATAGGTAAGCTGGTAGGTAAGCTGATAGGTAAGCTGATAGGTAAGCTGATAGGTAAGCTGGTAGGTAAGCTGATAGGTAAGCTGATAGGTAAGCTGGTAGGTAAGCTGGTAGGTAAGCTGATAGGTAAGCTGGTAGGTAAGCTGATAGGTAAGCTGATAGGTAAGCTGGTAGGTAAGCTGGTAGGTAAGCTGATAGGTAAGCTGGTAGGTAAGCTGATAGGTAAGCTGATAGGTAAGCTGGTAGGTAAGCTGATAGGTAAGCTGATAGGTAAGCTGGTAGGTAAGCTGATAGGTAAGCTGGTAGGTAAGCTGGTAGGTAAGCTGGTAGGTAAGCTGATAGGTAAGCTGATAGGTAAGCTGGTAGGTAAGCTGATAGGTAAGCTGATAGGTAAGCTGATAGGTAAGCTGGTAGGTAGCTGATAGGTAAGCTGATAGGTAAGCTGGTAGGTAAGCTGGTAGGTAAGCTGATAGGTAAGCTGGTAGGTAAGCTGATAGGTAAGCTGATAGGTAAGCTGGTAGGTAAGCTGATAGGTAAGCTGATAGGTAAGCTGGTAGGTAAGCTGATAGGTAAGCTGGTAGGTAAGCTGGTAGGTAAGCTGGTAGGTAAGCTGATAGGTAAGCTGGTAGGTAAGCTGGTAGGTAAGCTGATAGGTAAGCTGATAGGTAAGCTGATAGGTAAGCTGGTAGGTAAGCTGATAGGTAAGCTGATAGTAAGCTGGTAGGTAAGCTGATAGGTAAGCTAATAGGTAAGCTGGTAGGTAAGCTGATAGGTAAGCTGATAAGTAAGCTAATAGGTAAGCTGGTAGGTAAGCTGATAGGTAAGCTAATAGGTAAGCTGGTAGGTAAGCTGGTAGGTAAGCTGATAGGTAAGCTGGTAGGTAAGCTGATAGGTAAGCTGATAGGTAAGCTGGTAGGTAAGCTGATAGGAAAGCTGATAGGTAAGCTAATAGGTAAGCTGGTAGGTAAGCTGATAGGTAAGCTAATAGGTAAGCTGGTAGGTAAGCTGGTAGGT